ATTATAGCCATAGTAGATCTTGAGTGGTTTCATAGGGTTCGATCCTTGAGTGGATGTTCAATATATGCTCTGTGGGTTGTTGTATGCGAAATCTTGATGTGATTCACCTGAGTGCCATGACCTGTGAACTGTAATCTTTGGGTTTCCGGTTAATATAGTGATTCCTTCCGGTGGCGGAAGCTCAAAAGGGGATTAGGGACTTCGATTTCGAATCTCTTACCTTAGGGCGAAAATATCGTGTTCTTGCATTTTTTCTTTTATGTTTCTTTCATCTTCAGTTTCTTATTTCATATTTTGTGAAACAAAACAGCTGATTTTTTCTTGAACTAATCGTAACAATCAGAAAGTAAAAATGATAAGAAAGTATCTCTCTCCTGTGGAATTGTTGCAATGGAACCATGGATGATCTAAGTCCTTGTTCTTAATCAATGAAATCAAAGTAGACCACAAGTTAACTTGATATCCATATAAATCTTTCCTGGTTCTTCTGAAAATTAGATTCACTCAAAAATAAGTGTTGAATTATCGAAACTAAGCATATTTACGAGTTAATTTATAATCAATTTAAATTATAAAAAATATAGAAATGAATGGTAAAATAAGTGGATAGTACTTGTAGATTTCATGAAATACGTAAATAGACGATGATCTAATCGATTATAAACAGATTATGAATTGGTGTCAATCAAGGGCTAACGACATTGTCCTTAATTATTATATTCGTGGTAAAATTCTTGTAGAATTTCAGTAATTTGAGAAAGAATCTCCTATCCTGTGAAAAAGGGATAAAATCCTCTTTGTAGTACGATATATATAACATTTTGTGAATTTTAAAATGAGTCGTGTTTCTATCTTTGGCATCTAACATGCTTACATCACATCTATGAATTTATAGAGCTTTCTAGCTCTTTAGCAAATGTCTTTCTTGTGTCGATGTGGCAGTTTCAATCGTCAATGGATAAAATGTGCCAATCTGTGAGCTTTGAAATAAAGTCCATGTTTGATCCCCATTAAAATTATAATACATTTTTTTTTCTCTCTTCTTATTTCAACCATTAAAATATCAAATGATGAGGGCTAAACAGGGTTAAATGTGGTTGATTTGACTCCAACAGTTTAATCAATAACCGCAGTAGTAACAAGAATTTCACAAAAGTTTAATACGTTAGAGAAAGACTATCTTACTTTGAACATGTAATTATGGTTTCTATATATAAGGGAAATGGCTAAATTACTCTAAAGAATAGATAAATTACATTTCTTGAATTTTTCAAGTTTGAAAGTGAAGGCTCTTGTGGAGAGCTTATCACACTTCAGTCACATTCCAAATTTCCCTGCAAACATATTTTTAGCATTACTTGACCTTGATTTTTGCGGGAGACGTGCCCAACGGAATCCAACCAACTCCCCTCCACATAAACATCACATGCACACTAGAAGACCTCGTTAGAGTGCAAAGAATCGTCAGTTGAGAAAAAGGTCCGACGATCTTTTGCACTCCGACGATCAAACTAACGGTAGGATGAAAGAGAAATGAGTGCAAGAGACGAGAGAGGGGGTTTAGCTAGTGTTTGAGAAACATACCTTGATTGTGAAATGGATCACACATAATAAATAAAATGAAAATGGCCAAGTGGTGCTAATGGGTAGAGTTCCAAGCCCAAGACAATGTTTCTTGACTTAATAGGCCCAATCCAATTAAATAATAATGTCGGGTCAGTGTATATGAGACCCTCTTCGTCATGCGTATGCCACATAATTTATAAATATAACAATAGTCCCCTCAAATTTGAGTTTTATATTTATATACAGGTTGGACTTGAAATGAAAATTGTCAAGTAGACAAGGTCTTACAGATTGTTTTAAAAATATAAGCAGCTCCAATAAGTGATGACTTATTAACTGCCTTGAAAATATGTATCAATCCCAGATATATAAAGACATACAAATTACTCTGAGAATATAAACTGATATGATTTATAGAAATTTTGGTAGTATCTCCTCTGTAATATGGACTAAACCAATCTAAAATATAATATAATATATTTGTTGAACATATGCAAAATAAATTTGGGGTCCATTTGACCCATCCAAATACTTATAACGATAACGTGAATAATAGTAAATCAAACTTCTCCAAGATGGAATGTGCAATATCATGTATCAAACCAGATAACATGTTGTCCATAATAAAATGATAACGTAGATGACATGGCATACATATTAGCTATGAAAATAGTGTCACGACATTTCTAGCAGTGATGTGACATTCATATTTGGCAGCAATAATATAATGCTAATGGTAATAATAATAGCATATTGCTACTAACGCTACTAAGATAATAATAATATAGTCTCCCATTTTTAGAAATTACGTGGCACGAGCATGACGAAAAGAATCGCACATATACCAACTCGGCATCGAATGTTTAATTGGATTGGGCCTGTTAAATCAAGAAATCTCGTCTTAGGCTTGGAACTTGGCCATTAGCATCGCTTGGCCCATTTTCACTTCAATATATATATGTTATCCATTTCACAATCGATATATGTTTTCTAACCCTATCCAAATCCCCTCTCCCATCTCTTGCACTCATTTCTCTTTTGTTTGGCCGTTGACTTGACTGTCGTATTGCAAAAGGTCACCGAACCTTTTTTGAACTGGAGGCCTTTGCACTCTAACGAGGTGTTTCAGTGTGCAATGCTTGTATAGAAGGGATTTGGTCGGGGTTTTGTTGGCCACGTGCCAGTTCAAAAATCGAGTTTAACAATATACATGTTTATCATAGCTATGAAAGTGATTTTGGTCGCTTTGACACTTCGAACTTAAAAGAAAAATAATTATCAAATTTATTATTGAATCAATTTGTAGTCTTACAACTTGATTGATCAGCGACAGTTCCCTACTGATGTACTATCTTCACTTCGAAAACCTCCCTATGCCTCCCCTACAAGCATAAAAGAAATTAGTACAGTTTGTGTAACAAGAGCCTCTGGCTACATGGCTTGTGTAATTCTTGCTCCAACGTTGTCACACGGTCAGAGCCTCTATTCGTGACCCCAGTTCAGCTCCTTCTCTCTTTTGACAATCTTTATATTATGTAATTTGTTGATATTGGTTATGAACTTCAGTTGTATAATAATCTGCAATGCTACTTGAGTTTTGGGTTAAATTTAAAGTGTATGATGTTACGTACTTACACTGTTATTTCAGACAATGCTCACAACAGTCAGTCAATAATGATCTTTATAATTTGTGTGCTTGAAGATTTTATGTTTTGATGTGTGCTCATGTTGTAGTGAACTTTCTTCAATTTTAGTGAAACTTCTCAATGGCACTTTTGAGGCTTTTCTGTCACATATAGCATCTGTAGTTGCGTAGATCTTGTAGCGAACTCCAAATTTATTAGAAACAAGTCCTAGCCTACCGTTGTTTTCTTGTATGCGACGAATTACTTAGTACATATTTGGTATGCATTATTGGCAAGAAAGGACATGCAATATAATGAACAGATTTTAGTCTTTTCTTCTTCATTTCCCTCCGCTATACAGTCACCACTATCTAATCCTTTTCACCACACTTGAAAATAATGTTTCAATACTGAATATTTTCTCATTTTATCTTTATTTCTTCACCAGTTCTGGTATATCCTTCGGCCTGGACATTTGTAATGGAGAATGGTATTGATATGGTTGTGATAAACCCTGGACAAAATTCTTGTGCAGGTGGTGAAACATATCCAAATTCTGCCTTTGGTTAATGCACATTCTTGCATTTGAGAATCCTTCAGCTAATGGAAGACATTGTGTTGTTGAGAAAGGTGCATACGTTACTGTTAACCACGAAATTTACCATTTCTTCATTTAGGAACAAGAAATGAGCCGAGTTACTGTTTGTAGGACTTTCTTTTAGTTCAAGGAAGTAGCATGTGGCTCTGACTTCCTGATACACGAGAATTTGGACATCTTAGTGAAAGCCAACATTTGGACAGTTCAAAATAAGCGCAAGACCTCTGCTTGAAGAAAACATTTAAGTTAAAAATGTGTCCCCTATCCAACCGTTTAGGCTTTTAAATAAGGTGGTTCAACATTATATAAAAGCTACGCAAATAAATGGTCGAGTTGAAGAGAACATTAGACAATAAAATATTTCCCTCTATCTAATAGCTTAAGCTTTTAGATAAAATAGTTCAACACCTTGACTGCAGCAAGATTTGTTGAGAGTATTATCTCCTTGTGAGATTCCCTTTCCTTAAATGGATATCATGTCACTACTAAGATTAGTTGTATGTCTTTTAGTTAGCAATACATCTCAGCTCTAGCTAATTTCGTACAGAAAAACTGACATTGCAAGTGTGCGAACAAAAAGCTCTATATCGAAATATACAATGTCTCTGAGGAAAGAGCAGAGTGCTTGGGTTTGGAATTCACACCTCTTAAAGAAAGAGTCAAAGAAACTGTTGAAAGCTTGAAGGAGAAGAACTTCTTTAAGCCCTCCATTAGCTCATCTAAAAGTCATTCATAAGATGATGCTGAACTACTATAGCCTATGAAGTAGACGGGCAGTCTAGTCTAATACTATTGTATGAAACATGTTAAGTCTCATCCTTGTTTAAATTCTCTGTATAATTGATAATGTAATATACTATTGCGACTTAGGAGAGAGAGAAACAACCATGGCCTATACTGATGTCAATAATTGCATCTTTTGAAAACTACAATAAATCTTACGAAAGTAAAACTTCTTTACTTCAAAAAAAGATAAGTTCTTAGTTCTAATAAATTCCAACTATAGTTCTTGTTACCTTACTCTCCATTCAAAAACTAGTGCCTAGTCTCCATCTTGTGTTTTTTCTGACACAGTAATATTAGATATACAAAAGCCAGGATCCCCATTTACTTCTCCCAAGGAAGAGGCGAAGGTAACCTTTGAATTCATGGACACATCACTTGTGGAATATTCATATAGGGAGGATGATGCTCTTAAAACCATTGCAAGATTATTCTTCGATCCAGAGTGCTAAAACTGCTTTCCAACTGAAAATAAGTAGCTTATCGAATGTGAAAGCCATGGGTGATTGAACCATCTCCTGTTCAACTGATAAAGCAGATTCAGCAGAAGTGCTTATCAAGGAAGAGTTTCTTAATCGTGCTTCATTATCGTGATCTATTTCGATTTCCATCGGATTTTTGGATGAGAAGAACGGATCCTTGAATAGGTTTACAGCTGATGGCCTATTTGATGCAGAAACTAGGCATTTTTCTATAATCTCCTTCACCTCAGGATCCTTAATTTTACCAAGAGCAAGAGGCTGTATACCAGTAGTGACTTTCTTGAAAATCAGTGCCGGATTTGCGTATTCACTGTAGGGATGTTCAAAAGTGGTTAATTCCAGTAAACACATGCCAAAAGCATAGATATCAACTAACTCATTATACTCATCATAATATTCTGGTGCCATGTATTCTGGTGTTCCAACAACAGTGCAAAGGTGGCCTGCTTGCATAAAAGTTGCTAAACCAAAATCTCCAATCTTTACTTTGCCAGTAGCCATGTCGATAAAGATGTTATCTCCCTTCAAATCGTGATGAATAATACGCGGGTTTTGGTTGTGAAGATACTCCAACCCTTGTAAAATCTGTCTCCCCCAGTTCTTGATTGTTTGCACATCAATATTGCTATTTCTTTATCTGTAGTACCTTAAACTCCCTGAACTAAACAACTGAGTTATCATATTAATTGTATTGTTCTTTTCATCCATCCAATGGGAGAAACACTTCATGATCTTTTTGTGATTCAATGACTTCAATAAAACAGCCTCGAAACACAATTTTTCTTCGTTCGCCAAAGACTTCCATCATATTTTCATCGTCAATACAGATTTGACACCACATAATTTCTGTATTACTAGCCCGATCGAAACCTCCGTAGACGTCTTTGAATGCCCCTCTTCCCAAGAGTTTCTTGTAATGTACGTAACGCTTACATGGTGACACCTCTGAAACATCAGACTCATTAAATCCTAGGTTTTGCTGAATGAAAAACCCTATTGAATTCATGATCCAAAAAGAATTTCTTTATGGAAGTTCGAAAGTAAATATTATAGAAAAATCTCGTCGTGTAACGCTTCCATGGCGGTCAAGAGTTGTACAAGAACCCAATCTTGAACTCGTGCAGTTCATCTTCATTGATTTTAGACATGATTTTGAGGCTGCGTTCTTCGTCTCTGTATTTTTTTCGGTCAACCCAAAATTCTTGAATCATCGAACTAGATGTATGTTTAAGAATCTTTTATTGAAAAGATGAAGACGAAGACCAAAAAACTAAAGAAACAAGATGAACGGACACAACGAAGAGACGCAACGGAGTTTGATTACGAACATAAAGGGATGAAGGAGCAATAACCGAAAGTTTCAGTAGGATTTGGGATTCTATCCCGAGTAGTTAGCTAGTGAAATTATAATTCTAAGGGGCATCCGTCTTTCATTGATTTTTTCCCCTTTTATTTTTATTTATTTATTTTTTTTTTCGTGTCATCTCAATCGAGTCTAACTTGATATAAAATAACTCGTTTAAAAAAGGATAGTGGCAAAAGAGTAATACCATTTGTACATAAACGACACTAAAGAGAAGGAAATATTATAATAAATGAATTCCTTTTTTCCTCTCTCTGTTCCATTATCTAAAAAAAAGGGGTTAAACCCCAACCTTGAGGGCCCTCACCGCCCCACTCCTAGAGTTTTGTGAGTGAGTTAAATCGTGGAATGTGCCCCAACAGGTCAGGGAACAAGAGCTGTCTATACACTGCTCCTACAAGAAATCCAATTTCATGTTTTAGGAATCGGACCCCCACAATGTGGCTGCTAGCAAAGCGTGAGATAACCTCACTCCTATCCTTTGTACCACTGGGCTATGCCCCGAGGGGCTTGTTCCATATTATCTATCTATATCTAATGGTGTACAAATAGTATTATTTATTTTCGAAGTGTTTTGATAGGCGTTTGTCAACAATTTTGTTGGCATTTCATAATGTGGTAGCTAATCTAATCACTTATTTGAATAATATTTATTCAAATCAATGACCAGATTTTTTACACATCATGAAATGTCAATCGAGATGTTCAAAATGAATGCCAAAGTAGGATTACCCCATTTTTGAAATAGGAAAAATGCTTGTTTTACATCACTCTTTATATAATTTTTTACAGATTAATGACGTGTCTAAAAAAGTGGAGGAATTTTATTATTATTAGTATTATTTTTTTGATGAGATTTTGACCTATTCAAATCTTGTCACATCATTTGTTGGTAAAAAAAATCTATAAATTGTAATATACATGTAGCACAATCATTCAAAATATACCTAACAACGATTATATTACCATCATTGTTTGCGTTTGATACACCACATTTTTTAAACAATTTTTTTATTTACTAAAATGACATAAGTAACCTTTCTCTTTTTACTCTTACCAATTTTTTAAACATGTTTTGCACGTTGTATGGTACAATAATAGAATTTATACTTTATTCCTTTTATAATTTGTTTTTGAAAATTATCGTCCATAAAAATTATCTTATTATACCTGAAACCTTAAATCCACGTGCAGAAGACAAATTTTAAAATATCTACACCTCAAAGGATTAAATTCCCAAAATATTTCTATAACAAACACGCATTTGAGAATTGTCTATAAATAACTTAGGTCAATAAATTCAAAAATTTAATCCTCCAATAAAGAACTAATTTATGCAAAATAAAATAAATTTAAAACATATGACAAATAAATTGTTACTTGCATTAATTATTTAACAGTTAATGTCGAATTCTCTTCCTCCTTCTATTATTTCTTAACAATTAATCACGAATTCTCTTCTATCTCACCCGTAAACAATAAACTTGTTTGAAATAAGAAATTCGATATATAACAATAATTACCAAAAAATAAAATGACAAATCAAACAAATAACATAAATAAGAACAAAAAAAAAAAAAACTCAATAAATACCAAGAAGTTCAAAAAAATAAAATCACGAATCAAGCACACAACATAAAAACACAAACAAAAATTTCGCATTGAAATCCCATCATACGAATCTATTGATTCTTGGTGTTCGGGGACTTTGCAAAAAATAAGGACAAAAGTTACAATGTTTTATTGAAAATTAAAGTTGTGAAAATCAAGAACATAAATTCACTCAAATAAACCTTGATTTCCAATCTCAAAACCGCATTGCACCCATCCTGCCATCGAAAATAAATAAGTAAATAACACGATTAAGTCCATTTTATAAACTAGTAGTATCTCAGGACAATCACGTATCCACGTTATAGTACAAATCTTCAAATTTCACAAAATTACAAATAAAATTATTAAGCTTGATGAATATAAACTAAAACTCGAATAAGATTTTAACCAAATCAAGGAAGTCATGAAAAGAAATTACAAAAACGATAAAAGAAAAACAAATCTCCATTTTAAAATTGAGCTCGTTAATTTTCTATAAAGAATCCAGAAGACAAACAGAGATTAAGCAGCGTTGAGGTTTGATTTCATTAGGGATTCGATTAATTTACTTATTCTTTTATGGGTTTTCAATTTATACGTTTCAAAGCTATTAAAATTCCACTATTTAATAAGTATAAAATTATAAATTAACTAAAACATTCATGGAAAAAAAAAATAATAATAATTCATTCAATCACTTGCTTGTGATTGCAGCTATTCCCCAAAGAGGAATTGTCCACGCCCGTTCAGTTTTCGTGAATATAGGAACTGTAATCTCCCGATGCTGTAGTCAACCTTACGCTATGCCTAATTGGTGAGTTTGTCGTCTCCACTACTTTCCACCAGGATGGTGAATTCATTTCATGGTCAACTGAAAGAGTAGTCTACGATTGTATCGAATTCTGCTTACTAGAGACATAAACACTGGAAACTCAATTTGAACAAGAGTAGCTTATTCTATTTCAAACAAGCACTAAAGAAGTGACAGTGTATGGGATCGATAGCCCTTTTATGGCTTGCCCATGATGATTGGCTTTCTTTTCTGAAAAATGAAGTTGGTGGATTATATATTTTTGAGAGGTGCCATAGGTACAGCACATTGACAACATGGTTGACAGTCCTCTCATATATAGAGGGTGGAGTCCACGATTAAAATAATCGCGAACCCCACGATTGTGAGGGGTCTGTATGTTTGGTGTTGTACAAACATCATTTCCCTATATTTTTAGAATAATGGTTTAATTCATGAATAGGAAATGAATGTAAAAAATTGACTTATAACAATATCTTATTGGAAGTAAAATATATAATAGTAGCTTAATTCACAAATTAAGGGAAATAATGAATATTAAATAAGGGCATGATTGTCCAAAAACAAAATTTAAAGAGAGAGAAAATGAAAAATTGAATGTTTCTCACGTATCCAGACTTTTCATATATGGTAGTTTATTTATGCCATATTTTCACACATAAAACCCTAATTTACACTGACAACTTTAAATGAAACATAAATTATCCTTAGCAGTGTAAATAATAGAAAAGGAAAAAGAAATGTACCTATACAGAGAAAAAAAGGACAAAATTCAAGGCTTCACCGCAAGGCCTTAGAATCACCAATTTTCATGCCAAGATCTTTCCCACATGGCAACAAATTATTGGAATACAACTTTATTTGGAAAAGAAAAAAGGGATTAAATTTGTATGATGTTGCACATTACACTTTTAACCAACAAAACTAACTCAGCCCCAACATTGTGCACAGCACATAGTGAACTTTTTTTGATCATCTAGGTTTCAAACAATGGCTTCCATGACAATGACTGCTTCATTCATGGGTGGCACAGCCGCAGCAGCCACCGCCTCCCGCCGTGTCATGATGGTGGTTAAGGCCTCCAAGGATTCCCAGAGTGGAAAAATGGTGGAAGAGAGAAACAACAGCACCAGAAGGGACTTGATGTTTGCAGTGGCTGCTGCTGCTTGCTTCATTGCCAAAGTTCCCGAGCCCAAACTTGGAACCCCAGATGCTAAAAAGAAGTATGCACCTATTTGTGTTACTATGCCAAATGCACGCATTTGTCACAATTGAGAACTGGCATTGCCTTTGTACAACTGCTTTTTTAAATTAATCTGGGAAGAATGTAAAACCTGGTTCCTGTCCTAATATATCTGCTTCCCTCAAGTATTTTGAGCATGCTACTTTATGCTTTGCTTTATTTTTAATGCAAATAATCAGTTATTATGAACTCCTTTTTAAATGTAACTTAAATTTACTTTTAAGTAAATCTATGGTCTAGAAAAGTTAGGAGAAATTACTACTACCTCCACTTTCAAGAGAATCTATCGCTTCATGTCTCTTTGTCGGCAAAAAGATCTGCCTGTGTGGGAAACCCTCCCATTTATCCACAAGCTCATGAAGTTTCTCCATACGCTGAACAAAAGAAGTTTACATCTACAATCTTTATAAGACAAATTTTTATTTATTTAAATTTACAAGTCTGAGTCTTTACATGACAGAAATTATGAATGTGGACACTAAAACACGCAACTTTCACAAGATTTAGAGTTGGTGGATGAAATGTCAAGCTACTCAAAAGCTATGTTATTTTTTTTTTTAAAATATATTGAAATTATATTTTCGAAATTTAATAGCATAATATCATCAAATAGACATTATAAATAACTGCAGCAAAAAATCTAGTATGTTTGTGACTGGTTGGAGATGGGCCGCATCAAGGATTGGTGGAAAATGAACTATGATTGTTTTTCTAGAGAAAATTAGGTCATGTGTGATCAATGAGATCATGTAACAACTCAACGAATCGTAGGAAAGGAACAAGCGTGCAAAGTTTGCTAAAGGTTGGAAACAATATATAAGATCCCTGTTTGGTTAAGTTGATAGTTCATTTATAAATTATCAAACTTTATTTTCAATCATATATTTTAATTGACCAAACTCAGAACATTTGTTCGTGGTCTATTTTGGCTCGTAAGCCCATCTTAATGTAGGCTTGGAATTGGCTCAATGGAACAATCTGAACGAGCATAAATAAATTGAAAGAAATTAAGAAAATAGAAAATTAAAATCCCAAAATAAATATAACAAACATATACTCAATAATTAAGTCACTCTGGCATGCATTTTTAAAATAGTAAAGAGAAAACTAACAGCAACTTGTATAAATAATAGAGTCAAGAAAATGCTTGTAAAAATTTATTAGGTGTTAGAAAACTCCTAGGAAACCGGGCAACTCAGGTTCTTCGGCTTCATTCGTCATTCTTGTTTCTAGAACTGGCTCTGGTACGTCTACTGATGGTTTTATAACTGTAAGAAATATTACATTATAGATTATAGTAAAAACAAGAAGACCAAAAGCTAAGTAGGCTAAAAAGGATCCAGAGAAATCTGTGGTTTCTTCTTTCATTTCACGACTTGGACGACCAAGGCTCGAAGCTGCAATCATATTAACAAGTGTATCAGACTAGAATCTATTGTATTCTACAAGACTCATCTCAAATTTGTCATATATATATATATATATATATATATGAAAGAACATTTAAGTTGAAACGCCTTTAGGAACAGTCTCATAAATCCTCAAGATTTCTGCTTGCCGTCACTCTGAAATATTTCCAATTACACAAAATAATTAGCCTGTTTGGCTTTGCTTCTTTTTACAAAAGAAGCGGCCTTTTTGCCCGAAATTGATGAAAAGCTTTCTCTTCTCTCAATAGTAAAACCCTCCTTACTGCTGAGAAATGCAAATTTTTGGCTATTTATTAGCATTTCAGCTAACCAGAGCACGGTAAATGTAAAATTAAATACATATTATCCAGGCATTTCGTAGGATCCACTTATTATCCATACACATTCTATAGACTCCACAACTTAAAATTGCCGCCTAGCATCCACTAACTGTCTGCTACTTTTCCAACTCAAGACAACATTGCTCGAAGATGACCAACCGGCTCACAAAATCGCATTGAAATATGAATGCATTCAACAGTCACCAAACTCAAATAGTTTACACAATTTTCTAAGCTTTCACTTAGCTCCTGTTTGGCCCCCATTAATTTTCATCCCATTACATTTCATTTTTTCTGTCTTATTTTCGACCACACAATCTTTCATAAAATAATATTACACGTAAATCGAAAACTTTTTCTTCTTTTTCAACCACTCATTTTTCAAAACAATACTAATCCACTCATTTTCATTTCTATAAAATGGGGGCCAAACTGGGACTTTTAATGAGTCAGAGCACCAAGCGAAGGGCTTAAACGCTTTGACCAAAAACTACTAATGCAAAAAGAGAGTGGAAAGGGTAAAAGAAAATGATAAAAATGAACAGTCAGTTTCTAATGATAAATAATGAGTAAGCTACCATCGAACACAACATATGTGGTTTCAGATGAGTCAATATTTTTCAATGCTTGATACCGTAATGAGAAATCCAGCACTAGTTTACTTATTCTAGTTATTCTCGGCCCGACCCTGATTTACAAATTGTTAAACTTCAAGTATCACAATAATATCTCGGATAGGATAGTATTCATCACATTTCTAACAAATGTTCAATGTAAATAGAGGAATTTCCTTGTTGAACTTTGCCTTATCTTGTTTCTGTAATTGAGGGGATCTTCTCCTCCATAGTTGCATATATTTCTTTCTATTAGTAAAGTTCTTTCTTTAAAGGCTCGGCTAAGAATATCAGTGAGATGGGATCAATCAGTAATTTAACATCGCCTCTTCTCAATTCTTCTTTCCGTTCAACAGATAAATTAATTTTCTATCTAACAATAATCCATAAACAAATATATTTCTGATTCTAATTTTACTTTAAGCTAATTTCAACTACATCTTTTGAAAAAATATTTATCGAATCAAACCACAATAATTAATCACAAACAGACGGAGATAGGGAGGGACGGAAAAGGTTAACCTCTAATTTTGGGAGGATCGACTTGTTTTTTGGAAAGAGACTGCATCTGTTCATCAAGCTTTCGCAATGCTTCACGGGCCTTATCTGGATCAACCTCGAACTCCGAGTCTTTCTCCACTGCATTCACAAAATTAAAGCCACCAATTCGTCTGCTTTTCTTCAGTTCATCACTCTCCCATATTCTGAATCTACAGAAAGAGACTGATTTTTGCTGCTTATTGCTATGAAAGGAAGAGGATGCAATTGCCGGAGGAGAAATTGAGTGCTGAAGATTAAGCATTTGAAAGACCAGACGGGGATATTGCAACACTGCGTGAAGAACTGCTCGTGGCCTTTGATAAACCGTTCAAAAGTATTATTCCCAATTTTCTTTTTTATCTTTTCCTTTTTCTGCATAAACATCTCATTTCCCTGTAAAGGTGGCTTTACGTGTTTTCTTCTATTTTCTTTTAATTCCTTTTCCCCCCCCCAAAAACTAATTAAAAAAATAAATAAAAATCGAATGAATAATACTGTTAGTACATAATGAAATTACATGATCGTTTCCATATACATGAGATAATGGTCAATTATGCTACATTTCCAAAAAATTGTCCACTTTCTTAACAAAACGTCACATGGTATTCTATTACTATATTGTTTAAAAATTAGTTAATTCTTTGCACCCAATCATCAGTTGTCAACATAGTATCTGTCAAGTAGGTGGACAAATTTCTGATAGCTTAATCCAAAAAATATAGGGAAAATTGTAGCCGAGGTACCAAACATTTCGTTTATTAGCAGACTTTACTCAAACATTTAGTTTGTACCACCCACGATATCTAATCTTTCAAAAACTCGTAGTGGAAGTCCAAATGGATGAAAACTGTTAATTTAACCGTAGTTGACCAAAAATTTAACATTGATCATTATTTTGACTAATTTTAAAAGGATAAAATTGTAACTTTACATTTTTCAACAAAAAAAATAATTACAATATATTAATAATTAAATCAAAACACAAAAATATTATTCATCTTCTTCTCCAACCCCCCCCCCCCCACCACCTCC